CCCCAAACAAGATTAGACAATTTCCCCAAGTTCATTATAAGGGGGGAAAGAAAACGGGGGGTTTTTACTGTATTATCATTATTCTTGCATTCCCAATTAATGCTAAAAGGGGAGGTTTAGCACTTGCGCCAAATCTTCATGTTCCCCAAATTTTTCCCGATGTTTTCCCTTTTTGACAAGCAGGGCTAGCAAAATTTTCCCCTGGGAGGTTCGTTACACTGTTTCAGAAAACATCCTGAACTGTTTCCAAAGTCACTGGCTCTAGATTACCTGTCAAAGAATTCCCCGTCAATTTGGGAAATTTTAAAGTCCCCTACTTTACTTGTTATGTGTCCGAAGCCCTAACATTTCTCCCAAAGAAGTCTCCCCTTTTGATCCAAACCTGGGGGCGGTATTTAACCAGAAATTTTTTTTCTTTACCCTCCACGAAATTACCCAAACAGACTCTGTTATGCCCACTATTTTATACCCTTTTTTTTTCAACAATTAATATTTTCTCGAACATACAAAGCAAATCCTCCCCCCTTTCCCCTTACATCTACCCCATTGAATAACTTAAATCCCTGAATATTTTCACTCGCAGTCAATCCCGACTCTTAAATCATACCACGTTTCAGTTAATGCAATGATATCAAGTTCCCACATTACCAAACGTAGTTATTTTAATTTTATTTCTTTCCCCCTTCGACTGTACATAAAATACCATCATATGTTTTTTCTTCGACATTTTTTTTATTATCTTGTTTTTTACCAATTTTTGAAATTTTCATTAAACCCCAAATTACTCCCTGACAGTTACTATTAAAATTTTTTATATCAGAGCATAAGTCAATTATCCATCCTTATTAACTTTTTAAACCCATACCTCTAACAATCTGTTTAAAGTCCTAACAACCCCCCCCCCCAAGAGTTAGCAAGAAAACCCACACCCCCTGGATAAGTGAAAACCCCCCCCTGGGATACTTTTCATTTCGGCCCTAGAAGTTGTCCCAGTTGTCAATGAATGGGACTGCATTATCCTTATAGTGTTTTTTCCAGCCAACAATTAATACCAATTGCTCTGGACAACCATTCATTACCAACACCTCTTCTTGGCAAAATGCCACATATAACAGGGCGCCCCCCCCTTCTTCCTAATCATGTCTATAGCTGTCCTGAACTTTCTAACTAAATCCTCACTTCTACGCTTGCCTACATCATTGCCTCCAGCACTGAGGTAAATAATAGGATTGATCCCATTACCGTTCATGATGTTGTCAAGCCGGCTAACAATGTCCTCTATCCCAGCCCCAGGAAAGCATACCCTTTGTCTCCTACTCCTGTCCTTCAAGCAGAATGCCCTATCCATGTATCTAACCTGGCTATCCCCAACAACAACAATATTCTGACCTTCCTTGTTGTCGTTCGTCGTGACGATCCACACCCTACCTACCACACCCTCTCTAAAAGTTTCTCCTACTTTAGCATTCAGATCCCCTACCACAATTACTCTCTCACTTGGTTCAAAGGCTCCTATACATTCACTTAACATCTCCCAAAATCTCTCTCTCTCCTCTACATTCCTCTCTTCTCCAGGTGCATACACGCTTATTATGACCCACTTTTCGCATCCAACCTTTACTTTAATCCACATAATTCTTGAATTTACACATTCATATTCTCTTTTCTTCTTCCATAACTGATCCTTCAACATTACTGCTACCCCTTCCTTTGCTCTAACTTTTCTCAGATACTCCAGATTTAATCCCATTTATTTCCCCCCACCGAAACTCCCCTACCCCTTTCAGCTTTGTTTCGCTTAGGGCCAGGACATCCAACTTCTTTTCATTCATAACATCAGCAATCATCTGTTTCTTGTCATCCGCACTACATCCACGCACATTCAAGCATCCCAGTTTTATAAAGTTTTTCTTCTTCTCTTTTTTAGTAAATGTCTACAGGAGAAGGGGTTACTAGCCCATTGCTCCCGGGATTTTAGTCGCCTCATACGACACGCATGGCTTACGGAGGAAAGATTTTTTCCACTTCCCCATGGACAATAGAAGAAATAAAGAAGAACAAGAGCTATTTAGAAAAAGGAAAAAAACGTAGATGTATGTATATATATATGCATGTGCCTGTCTGTGAAGTGTGACCAAAGTGTAAGTAGGAGTAGCAAGATATCCCTGTTATCTAGCGTGTTTATGAGACAGAAAAAGAAACCAGCAATCCTACCATCATGCAAAACAGTTACAGTTTTCTGTTTCACAGTCATCTGGCAGGATGGTAGTACTTCCCTGGGTGGTTGCTGTCTACCTACCTACTACCTTATAGTTATAATGTCTTTTATTTTCCTCCTACTAAGAGCGTATATAAAGTGTCTTAAGCCTGTTTTCGTAAGTCCTATTCCTTTTCCGGGAAACATTTTGTACCTCAACATTACTTTTTCTAACCTTTATACATGTATAATAAGTGTACTCACCGTATCACTACTGCATGTATTCCCTTTTCATCTAATGTATGTTGTGAAAAGCCTTTTCCCCCATTTCTCCATCCATTTATACAAATTCTAATTAAAAAGGTTATCCACTGTTGCAAAGGAGTTTATTTGTGATATTCTGGTGACAGCCTTATGTTATTAATGACATCTAGGCACCTCTAGTTGTCTAATACTTGCAATATTTAACTGTACAAACTACATGTTTTGTGGGCTGTTTTCTCTTTGTCTCACTTCAGTTATTTGGCATTTATGTGCATTAAATTCTATCATCAGTCTTTTACTTTACTTGCTCTATTCAGGTCTTTATGCAAGCATATTCAGTCATTTTCAGCACATTCTGCATTGTATTCTTGCATTATCTGCACCCATGATATGTATTGTTTATCACACTGACAGGGTAACTGAAAAAAAAAATCAGTCATTAACCCATTCAAGGTTGAGACCCCCTGATCTCAAACTTGCTCTTAGGCTCAAAGAATTTAAAATAAGTTATTTTATGAAATGATAGAGAATCTTTTTTCAAAGGTAATGAAACCAAAAGTATGAAATTTGATGGAAAACTTATGGAAATATGTTCTTACAAAGTTAGCAGTCTTTGTGACATTTACGCATCGGCAATTTCGCCCACTCTGCGCCCTATCTTTGGCCAAGTCTATTGTTCCAGTCGATCAAACTCATTGCTATTTCACTAGTATTCCTTCTATTCTATCAACTGAGTACAAGAAACTGCCTGTTTAACCATTTCAAGTGGTAAGAAATTGGTAATTTGGCCAATTTCACACAAAATTAAAAAAACTGCCAATTTAAAAATAGGGTTCAGAATAAACAATGCAGACAGTCTTAGCACTAAAACACATTTCCTCTGTTCCTTAGTCATGTCTCCATGCCCCTCTTATATTAAGCTTGCTTTCCATTTTGAATTTTTATTCAGCGGGCCACGGAAGGGTTGACCCCCAAAACCCTCTCCAGTATACACACAAAAATAAGTTTTACTGTTTTGCAGACTACTGCATTATTGTAATAACTGTATAGATCATGTCAGTGCATTCCCAAATACGTATTAGATTGGCAAGCTGGACATGTATTGGACAAGTGACATTACTCTGGAATATCGGCAAAAGTTGAACATATCTGCCACTTTGAGCTCAATTTCAAGCTACTTCTGTTCCTGAAACCAATCAAAATCATCCTTAATTTTTGTAATATGTTTTCCATTCTATCAAATGAGACCAAGAAACTGAGAATACAACTAAAAACATGGTCGCAATTTTTTTCTCATTATGCACTGCGTGCTGTAGGATTTTTTTTATATGATGCACACTTACTGCATAGACCCATTCTCTCATATCTAGGCTCAAATTTACCACTCACAGCTTATCTGAGTGAACTGAACTCATAGTGTTGTACTACAGAACTGACACTGGGTTCAAAGCCATTATATAACGGGACCGCCACCGAAAGGATTAAACAGATCTTCTGTCATCCCTGCCCAAAGCATGATATCACTTCTTCCATTTAATCATCAACATTTGACAACTTCTCAAAATACTTTCCATCTTTCCAATTCCATTCCCTTCACATCTTACATCCTCCCTCTTTAATTTTTAACTGGCATGCTGATAAACTCATTCATTTTCTTCTATTTTTTTTTTTTTTACCTCAAAAGCTATTTCCTGCCAAAGCAGGGTTACCCAAAGAAGAAAACACGCTCACCATCATTCATTCAAATGCTGTCTTACCATAAATGTGTGAAATTATAGTTCAGATTACCCTCCAACTGTAACATCCCCACCCCTCCTCCAGTGTGCAGGCACTGCCCTTCCCATCTCCAGAAATTTAATTCTTAGTTCCTTCTGGCAAGTCATTTATATACATTAGGAACATTATTGGAACAAGTCCCAAACCTTGTGATACCCCACAAATGACATTACCCCACAAGAGCATTTTATCCTGTAAATATAAATGATTTTGTAATGCAAGTGAGCAAGATATATTTCCATGTATTGCTCTATCCTATTACTCAGTATGAGAGGGCTTCCCATATCTTGGTTGAAATTTAGTGTAGCTAAAAGATTTCATTCGGATTTTTAACCCCGGAGGGTTAGCCACCCAGGATAATCCAAGAAAGTCAGTGCGTCATCAAGGACTGTCTAATTTATTTCCATTGGGGTCCTCAATCTTGTCCCCCAGGATGCGACCCACACCAGTTGACTAATACCCAGGTACCTATTTGCTGCTAGGTGAACAGGACAGGTGTAAGGAAGCATGTCTGAATGTTTCCACCCACTGGGAATTGAACCCGGGCCCTCCGTGTGTGGAGCGGGAGCTTTAGCCACCAGGCCGCCGGGTTAAGAAAAAACATACAACAATAGACCTTTATTAAGATGAAGTTTCACCTACATGAAGCTTTATCAAGTACATAAATGTACTGTATTTGAGAAAGCTTTATGTAGACTAAATGTTATATTAATAGAGATCTTCTTTTTGCTACATGTGTCTTTTTAACCTTAGCATGACTTACCTAATACACTGATATAAAGTATTGATCTCAGCAATAAGCTCCATAGCTGATTTTCCACCCTGGCAAATATTGTGAACTTTTTCAATGGCTTGTTGAGTTGGTTTCAAATCATCTCGGTTCACCTGAAATATATATACGTAAACAAAAAAATGTAAGATTATCTTATATCAGTTACTTTCAATTAAAATTGACAACAGTGATGACCTACGTTAGCAAGTTTACAATCATATAAATTTTTCTTGCTCTTACCAGAACTTGTAATTGTTACAAATTGCCAAGTGAATTAAAGGAGAGTACAGTGCTGTATGACCTACAAGGGCTAAAGCTTTTTTTAATAAGACAATAACCAGATGCATTAGGTTAATAAAATGATTCAGAGTTTAATATTACTTCACATCCCTAACCAGTTAGTCTATTTTGGAATTTCTTCACTTTCTACTTTTTTCTTTATTTCCAATATCCTACATCATATATTAATATCCTGGATATATTAAAAGAGATGAAGAGAGAGGTGAGAGAGTGCAAAAGGAGAGCAAATGATAGAGTGGGTGAGGCACTGTCAACAAATGTTGCTGAGAATAACAAAAAATTTTGGAGTGAGATAAATAGGTTAAAAAAGCCAGGGAATGAATGGATTTGACAGTTGAAAACAGAATAGGTGAGTTAGTAGACAGGGAGTTGGAAGTATTGGGAAGATGGCGGGAATATTTTGAAGAATTGTTAAATGTTTATGAAGAGAGGGAGGCAGTAATTTCATGCAATGGCCAGGAGGTATAACATCCTATAGGAGTGAAGAAGAAGCTGAAAGGAAGTAAAGCAGCTGGAACTGATGGGATCATGATAGAAATGTTAAAAGCAGGGGAGGATATAGTTTTGGAGTGGTTGGTACCTTTGTTCAGTAAATGTATGAAAAAGGGGAAGGTCCCTGAATCCCTTCATAAATGTTACCTTGCTTACACTCCAACAGCACGTCAAATTAAGTCCTAAAAACCATTTGTCTCCATTCACTTCTAACATGCTCACGCACGCTTGCTGGAAGTCCAAACCCCCTCGCACACAATACCTCCTTTACCCCCTCCCTCCAACCTTTCCTAGGCCGACCCCTACCCTGCCTTCCCTCCACTACAGATTTGTATACTCTCGAAGTCATTCTATTTCATTCCATCCTCTCTACATTTCCAAACCATCTCAGTATCCCCTCCTCAGCCCTCTGGTTAATAGTTTTGGTAATCCCACACCTCCTCCTAATTTCGAAAGTATGGACTCTCTGCATTATATTCACATCACACATTGCCCTCAGGAGATGAGTGTATTCAGATATTTGGGAGTGGTTGTAAGAGAAGTAAATGCGAGGGTCTTGGCAAGAGGCGTGGAGTTAAAAGATAAAGAATCACACATAAAGTGGGAGTTGTCACAGTTGCTCTTTGCTGATGACACTGTGCTCTTGGGAGATTCTGAAGAGAAGTTGCAGAGATTGGTGGATGAATTTGGTAGGGTGTGCAAAAGAAGAAAATTAAAAGTGAATACAGGAAAGAGTAAGGTTATGAGGATAACAAAAAGATTAGGTGATGAAAGATTGGATATCAGATTGGAGGGAGAGAGTATGGAGGAGGTGAATGTATTCAGATATTTGGGAGTGGACGTGTCAGCGGATGGGTCTATGAAAGATGAGGTGAATCATAGAATTGATGAGGGGAAAAGGGTGAGTGGTGCACTTAGGAGTCTGTGGAGACAAAGAACTTTGTCCTTGGAGGCAAAGAGGGGAGTGTATGAGAGTATAGTTTTACCAACGCTCTTATATGGGTGTGAAGCATGGGTGATGAATGCTGCAGCGAGGAGAAGGCTGGAGGCAGTGGAGATGTCATGTCTGAGGGCAATGTGTGGTGTGAATATAATGCAGAGAATTCGTAGTTTGGAAGTTAGGAGGAGGTGCAGGATTACCAAAACTGTTGTCCAGAGGGCTGAGGAAGGGTTGTTGAGGTGCTTCAGACATGTAGAGAGAATGGAGCGAAACAGAGTGACTTCAAGAGTGTATCAGTCTGTAGTGGAAGGAAGGCGGGGTAGGGGTCGGCCTAGGAAAGGGTGGAGGGAAGGGGTAAAGGAGGTTTTGTGTGTGAGGGGCTTGGACTTCCAGCAGGCATGCGTAAGCGTGTTTGATAGGAGTGAATGGAGACAAATGGTTTTTAATACTTGACGTGCTGTTGGAGTGTGAGCAAAGTAACATTTATGAAGGGGTTCAGGGAAACCGGCAGGCCGGACTTGAGTCCTGGAGATGGGAAGTACAGTGCCTGCACTCTGAAGGAGGGGTGTTAATGTTGCAGTTTAAAAACTGTAGTGTAAAGCACCCTTCTGGCAAGACAGTGATGGAGTGAATGATGGTGAAAGTTTTTCTTTTTCGGGCCACCCTGCCTTGGTGGGAATCAGCCAGTGTGATAATAAAAAAAAAAATAACATTACCCTCAGACATGACATCTCCACTGCCTCCAGCGCCTCTGTGTTGCAACATTCACAACCCATGCCTCACACCCATACAAGAGTGTTGGTATAATTATACTCCCATACATTCCTCTCTTTGCTTTCATGGATAAAGTTCTTTGTCTCAACAGACTCCTCAGTGCACCACTCACCTTTTTCTCCTCGTCAATTCTATGATTCATCTCATCCTTCATAGACCCATCTGCTGACATGTCCACTCCCAAATATTTGAACACATTCACCTCCTCCATATTGTCTCCCCCCAATCTGATATCCAATCTTCCGTTACCTAATTTTTTTGTTATCCTCATCACCCTACTCTTTCCTATATTCACTTTTAACTTCCTTCTTTTACATACCCTACCAATCTCATCAACCAACCTCTGCAACTTCTCTTCAGAATCTCCCAAAAACCACAGTGTCATCAGCAAAGAGTAACTGCGACAACTCCCACTTTGTATTAGAGTCTTCATCTTTTAACCCCACACCTCTTGCCAACACCCGAGCATTCACTTTTCTTACTATTCCATCTATAAATATATTGAACAACCATGGTGACATCACACATCTCTGTCTAAGGCCTACTTTTACTGGGAAATAATCTCCCTCTCGCCTACATACTCTAACCTGAGCCACACTATCCTCGTAAAAACTTTTCACCACTTTTAATAACCTACCTCCTATTCCATACATTTGCAACATCTGTCACACTGCCCCTGTATCCATCTACTGTAAAAATTATAGGGGACTAAGTTTAATGAGTACTCCATGGGAAAGTGGAACAGAATTTTTCCTCTGTAAGCCATGTGTGTCATAAGAGGTAACTAAAATGCCAGGAGCAAGGACCTGGTAACCCCTTCTCCTGTATACATTACTGAATTTAAAAAGAGAAGCTTTCATTTTTCTTTTTAAATCACCCTGCCTCAGGGGGATATGGTCAGTTTGTTGAAAAAAAAAGTTTACCGAGTATACCAGGTAGAGTGTATGGTAGGGTTATTACTGAAAGACTTAGAGGTAAAACAGAGAGCAGGATTGCAGATGAACAAAAAGGCTTGAGAATGGGTAGGGGATGTGTAGACCAAGTATTTACGCTACAGCATATAAGTGAACAATATTTAGATAAAAGTAGGGAATTTTTCATTGGATTTATGGATTTAGAAAAGGCGTATGATAGGGTGAATTGGGGAATAATGTGGTAGATGTTGAAAGTGTATGGAATAAGTAGTAAGTTACTAAATGGTGTAAAGAGTTTTTATGAGGATAATGAGGCTCAGGTTAGGATGTGTAGGATAGAGGGAGATTACTTCCCAGTAAAAGTAGGCCTTAGACAAGGTTGTGTAATGTCACCATGGTTGTTTAACATATTTACAGATGGGGTTGTAAAGAAATAAATGCAAGGGTGCTGGGGAGATGGGTAGGATTAAATTATAGGGAAACAAATACAAAATGCGAGCCGACATGTGCTTTTGGGAGATTCTATGAGAAGTTGCAAAGGTTAGTGGCGAGTTTGGGAGGGTGTGTAAAGGAAGAAAGTTGAAAGTGAACATAGGTAAGAGTAAGGTGATGAGAGTATCAAACGAGTTAGATAAAGAAAAAATGGATATTACATTGGAGGGAGGGAGAATGGAAGAAGTGAATGTGTTCAGATATTTGAACATAAGTATAAGAACATAAGAAAGAAGGAACACTGCAACAGGTCTACTGACCCATGCAGAGCAGGTCCATGTCCCCCCCCCCCCCCACATTAGCCCAATGACCCACCCAGTCTGGTCACCTCCACTCAAGGATGGAGCACTGCACCAGACCCAGCAGCACAAGCAAAATTTGGAGTAGATTTGTCAGTGAATGGGTTTATGAAGGATGAGATTAACTGTAGAACTGATGAGTGAAAAAAGGTGAGTGGTGTATTGAGGTATCTGTGGAGATGTTATCCATGGAGGCAAAGAAGGGAATGTACAAGAATATTGTAGTACCAACATACTTATATGGGTGTGAAGCATGGGTTGTAAATGATGCAGCAAGGAGGAAGCTAGATGCGGTGGAGATGTTGTATCTAAGGGCAATATGTGGTGGAAATATCATACAGAGAATTCGTAGTATGGAAATTAGGAAGTGTGGACTTAATAAAAGTATTATTCAGAGGGCTGAAGATTGGTTGTTGAGGTGGTTTGGTCATTTAGGGGATGAAGCAAAACAGACTGATTTTGAGGGTGTATAAATCTGTAGTGGAGGGGAGGAGGGGTAGGAGTCCTCCTAGGCAAGGATGGAGGGAGGGGGTAAAAGAGGTTTTGTGTGCGAGGGGCTTGGGCATGCAGCAGGCATGTGTGAGCATGTTAGATAGGAATGAATGGAAATGAATGGTTTCTGGGACCTGACAAGCTGTTGGAGTGTGAGCAGGGTAATATTTTGTGAAAGGATTCAAGGAAACTGGTTAGTCGAACTTGATTCCTGGAGGTGGGAAGTACAATGCCTGCACTTTAACCCTTTCAGCATCGACAGGCCCTCTCCTAAACTTGTTCTCAGGGTCGAAAATTTAAAAAAAAAAAAAAAAAAAAAAAAAACAGAAATAAAATTAATTTTTCTTATGAAATGATAGAGAATCTTTTCCCGATCATAATGACACCAAAAGTATGAAATTTGATGGAAA